GAATTCCCACATTCTCAAGGCTATCTGTAGTTTGTTATGATCCACACAGTTGAATGATTTTTTCTAATCAATAAAACCCAAGTATACACTTTTCTGGCATTCTCTGCTTTCCGTCAAAATCCATCTGATATCACCAACATCCCTCATCCTCTTCTGAATCTGGCTTGAATTTCTGGCAGTTCATTATTGAGGTACTGCTTTAACCATTGCTGAATAATCATCAGCAAAATTTTACTTTAATATATATTCTCCAATTAAGTTGTTAAAAACCATTTGCAATAATGAATACATTGGTCTCGCCAAACTCTGTCATTTCTATCATCAATGCAAGTTACAATTCCTTTATCTTTGTTTTCATCTTTTCTTTTTCATTCTAATCAATTGTATTTGCTAATGCATCTTGATTGCATATTTGATCTACTTCAGACTACAAAAGATGTCAAATTCTTCATTTTTCTCAGCATTGGAATAAATTTTAATGCCAATCATATTAAGAGGCCTTCCTGGAAGAACATGGATAATATCCTATCACAGGACGTCATTGACTTTCTGGATCTCGAAGTGCTCTTTTGAGGATTACTATGTCATTCCCAGCATGGTAAACCTTATAACTATCAAATTCAAAACGGCCAACCCAATCTATTTCAAGTCACTAATGTCTTAAATACGATCTTTGTACATTCCATTTCATTTTTGACTTCTAATTATCCTGGAGTTATACTTTGTACCTTCCAGGTTCCATTTATAAATGGATGATTGCAGCTGTTTTATTCTTTTTGACTTGTGCCATGCCAACAAATAAAAACCTGAATGTTTCCCTTAAGATTGGCTTCCTGTGAAGCAGCAGTTCTACCACAGTCAGTTTTGGTTGCCTGGCAACCTCCCGGGCTCCTATTTATTCTGGCACTATTTCAAAAGCACCAAAAGAGGACATACAGAATGCACAGAGTCACTGTACCAAAAATAATTGGCTGACCTTCAAGTATTTCAAGAGGTAGCATGTTTGTGATAAAGAACCAATGGTATTGAAAGAAGTACCAGCTACACTAAAGGTGTTGGTTAAAAAAAAAATGACCCAGGATTTGGCGAAATATGGATGAAAATGTTTCAAAATCTGATAGAGCACTGGAAACACTCACTAGTCTATGCCAAGAAATTTGAAAGCCTACCTGGCCAATTGACTGGAAGAGATTCAAATCCGTGCCTAGTCCAAAGAAAGGTCACTCAAGAGAATGTGGGTACAGCTGAATATCATTAACATCATATGCAAGCCAAATGTCGCTGAGGAGTAGTCACAAACAGTTGGAGCAGCACATTGACAGGGAGCCACTTTGTTTCCCATACACTCATTGCTCTATCTGCCACAGCACTATTTTTCTGCTGGGTTTTATAATTTATGGCAACAGTCACACAAAACTGATAGGTGAAGCTCAGGATAATGGGCCATTTTAGGGAAAGGCCCAACAGGTTACAATTTGGGGGAATAATGCTCAGGATACAGTTATTCAGGACTCTGGCCTTCAGCCTCCAGGCGTGGTGCTGACCTGCTCTGGCAATGTTGCAAAGATCCTCTTCAGCTACCAGTAATTGCCTAAGCAGCATGCCACTCTGCTATAAACCGCACTGAGAAGGCACTCAACCTCAGCTCCCTAGGTCAAAAACTCAGCTTTGTGAATTAAACATGCAGAGGCAACCCACTCTACCAGCCAGCCTCCCAGCCCAGAGCACTGAGCTTAACTTGTTCTATGGACTGCAATGTTTGCTCCATTTGTCTCATTTGCTGGCTCTGCTGTTGCTATTCCTGTGCCATTCCTCTGGTGTCCAAACTGCCTCCTAGATGAAGGAGGTTCAATGTGCAGGCATCTCAGGGACCAAAGGACTTGATCCCTCTCTGGCTCTTCTCTCATGCTGTTAGTGAGGTCTGTCCTTCTGTTTCTGAGAAGGTTCATTTTATACCCAAAGGATGACAATCGCTCACTGCTGAATCATATAATAGCTTACTTCATTTTCTTACCCAGACTCATAATTTGCTGCATATAACAGAACCTAACTATGGCTAGAGAAGCCACGAACAATTCATGGCCCTGGAGGAACTGATACAATTTCAAGCTGGATTGATAGAGGGTGTAGAACAAAGGCTATCATTGCTGCTATCACATGAGTTTTGACTGAAAGCAAAGAATACTACAAAGATGTTGACTTGTGTTTCATTGATTATTCAAAGCCATTAGACAGTGTGGTTCATAATAAACTATGGATCACTTTGAGAAGAATGAGAATTTTGGAATATTTCCTTGTGGAATCTTGAATATATCAAGGGGCAGTGGTTAAAAACTGAAAAGGGGGATCCTGCATGGTTTAAAAAATCAGGAGATGTGTGCATCAAGAGCTCATACTTTTACTGTACTTATCCAATTTGTATGCTGAGAAAATACTAGACGCTGGGCTATATAAAGAAGGTGGCATTAGGCTTGGAGAAAGACGATGTCGGAGATGTAGGAGAGACTTGCTGAAAGTGAGGAAGATCTGAAACACTGATGAATAGCAGACTGTAGAACCTGCATAAAGGATCGCCAATCAATGTCAAGAGAAACAAATCCTATAACTGGAACAATAAATACCATTATGAAAAAAGTGAAAAGATCAAAATGTTCAGAGATTTTATTTGGATTCACTGTCAATACTGAGAGAAGCAGCCATCAAGAAATCAGAGAATGCATTTAATTGGACAAACTTTGTTGCAGAAGACCTTCTGAAAGCATTCGAAAGCAAAATTACTGCATTGAAGATTGAGGTGCATCACCTCATATGCATGGGAAAGCTTCACAATAGGGAAGACTAGAGAACTGGTGCATTCAGCTTAGTGTTGGTGGAAAATGTTTAATATACCATGGACTGTCCGAAGAATGCGCATGTCTGTTTTGGCTTAAGTGCAGCTATAAAGCAAGATGATGATACTTTGCCTCTGGTACTTTGGATGTGCAATCTTCAGAGACCTTCATCATGGAGTAGGACAGCATCTTGGTGAAGTGGAGGACCAATGAAGAGGAAGCTCTCAGTGAGATGCACTGGAACAGCAGCTGCAACAATGGGCTCACACACGACAATTATGAGGACAGCAAGGGACTGGACAGTGTTTCATTCTGTTGTATGTAGGGTTGCTATAAATTGGAACCTAACTTGTGGCCTCTAACATTTTGCTAACCAGTTATTATGAGGCTGACACTAGTGTGGTAATCTATTTTAGGATTATAGAAGACAGGGCTTTCTGCTCCCATAAACAGTTACAGTTTTGGAAACAGGGGCAGTTCTACCTTTTTTTAGGGATGCGGTAAGGGGATATTGACTTGATGATGGTAAATGAGCTTGTTTGTTTGTTTGGGTCTGAAAATTTGATTGAAGCACATTGGAAAACAGCTGTTAAGAAGTGTCAACTTACATTGGGTCTCTACTCAAGCACTCCCCCAATGCAAGACCACTTTGTTCTAATAAAGGCAAAATGGGTACATAAGCAAATGTGGTGAAGAAAGCTGACGGTGCCTGGCTATCAAAAGATATAGCATCTGGGGTTTTAAAGGCTTGAAAATAAACAAGCAACCATCTAGCTAAGAAACAAGATTCCAAATGAAAGAAGCACACCAGTCTGTGTGATCATGAGATGTCAATGGGATCAGATACCAGGCATCAAAGACCCAGAACAAAAAATCATATCAATGTGAATGAGGGGGGATGCGGAGTGGAGACCCCAAGCCCATCTGTAGACAATTGGACATCCCATTACAGAAGGGTCACAAAGAAGAGACGAGCCAGTCCAGGTCCAGTATAGCATCGATGAAACATACAACTTCCTCTAGTTCTTCAATGCTTCCTCCTGCCCACTATTCTGATCCCAATTCTACCTTAAAAATCTGGCTAGACCAGAGCATGTACACAGGTACAGATCGGAGCTGGAAACACAGCAAATTCAGGGCAGAGAACCCCCTCAGGACCAATAATGAGAGTAGCGATACAGGAGGGTAAAGGAAAGGTGGGGAGAAAGGGGGAACTGATCACAATGATCTACATTTAAACCCCTCCCTAAGGGACGGACAACAGAACAGTGGGTGAAGGGAGACATCGAACAGTGTAAGACATGAAAAAAATTATAAATGATCAAGGGTTTGTGAGAGATGGAGGGTGAGGGAGGGAGGGAAAAAATGAGGAGCTGATACCAAGGGCTCAAGTAGAAAGAAATTGTTTTGAAAATGATGATTTAACAAATGTAAAAATGTGCTTGACACAATAGGCGTATGCATGGATTGTGGTAAAAGCTATATGAGCCCCCAATAAAATGATTTCATTAAAATAATTTTTTTAAGTGTCAACTTTGACCAAATAAGAACTAGAAAATATATTACAAACCTTCATTGAACTTCTTTTAGGAGATAAGTATGAATATAATCTTGTTGTCTAGAAAGCTTAAAATAAGCATTACCATATATACTCATGTATGTGTCGAGTGTTTCAGCACATTTTAAATGCACTTTTTGTGATAAAATTAGGTGATTATACTCAGCAATCTGTCCAAGTAAATTTGATGTAGTTGAAAAACTTTTAGCAATATAAGTCCTGTGTATTTTAGAACTAGAAACTGTCTTCTGAATCATGTAAATTCGGAGCTAATATAGTTACATACAGGAGTTATATTTACTTCAATTACTTTGATTCATTTTGAACTCTCAGTGCCACTTCATGAGTCATCAGGCAAAGATTTGTTTATAAATCAAATACTGAAAAGCCATCTCTATTAATTAACTTTGGGCTGTGAAAGTCAGAGTGGCATCAATTCTTTCTGTGTCATGCCTGCATATATCTGTCATTTAAAGTAAAACAATGGTCATAACAAGTGCTATAAAATAGCTTATTCGTTTTGAATTATATAAATTCAATATTAAAAACCTATCTGAATTACTTCAAAACAACCTTCAACGCTTTGAAAATGGAGAAACGCAACAGTCACATTCAAGTGGACTTGTAAATACAATTTTAATTTTTACTCCAAATGTATGTCATCAGTAGCCCTTATCTTATACTTGAGAAAAGGGGACATTTACACAGGGAAAGAAGATACACAAACCATTTGATTTTAAGTTTAGGTATAAGAAAAATCCAGATGACAGAGGTTAAAACTCTAGGTACTTTCTCACAAACAGGCCAACAAAGTCAAATACCCCTTTTGAATAAAAAAATATAAATATTTGTTAGAAACAATACTTTAAGATTAGTTTTTCTCCCCACGTTTCCCGAAGGTACTCTAGTAGTGCCAATACTACCATCAATATCATAAACTGACCGGCAGTTTTCCCTTTAATTACAATTTGGATATAAAGAATACATAAAATGCCCCTCCCTGTGGCAAATTATCTTGTATCACCTCCAAATACGAATGGTCATAAAACTTCATAGCTTATCACCAAACTATTATTGGGCTCTCTGAGGTATGGGTCTCTGCACTTAGACAAACTTTGATAACTGATAGACAAGAGAAATGCTAGGAATAAGGCTTTGCTTAAATGATTCTGAAAGGTCACCACACCTGACACAATTAGAAAGAGATGCCAGGCAGCTATTTTGCATTTGGGTCTTAGGAAAACCACTACTACTGACGTGGTATAAAAATCCAGGTTCTACGACTATTTGGAACCAGTGGATGGACTCAAAAGGTTACGCACTTGACCTGAGGGTGGTCGCCATGAGTTGGAACTGATGACTCGGCAACTGAACAACTACAAAAGTTCAATAAAGTGAGATTAATATTTTCTTTCCAAGGCCTGAATGAAACGTGAACTATCATCACCATCATTTACTGTCAAATGAACTGATTCACGGAGTGTATGTCAGAACAGAACCATGCTCTGTAGGGTTTTTAAAGCACTGATTTGGGGGACGTAGATCACCAGGCATCTTTTCCAAGGAGCTTCTGGGTGGACTCAAAGCTCCAAATTTGCCATTAGCAGCCAATCCCATGGACTCTACACCCCCATGGACTCCCAGTGTGAACTCAGATCCCGAACTCACTGTCCTCGAGTACATTCTGACTTCTGGCTAGAAGTTCCTCAATGGGCAGAGGAAGCCATCCCCCCAAACAAAATGTTAGGTTGGGCTATTCCAACTGATTCTGACATGCTGGAAGAAACTATTCTAACCTTTTATAAATAACAGAAAATAAACATACAAAGCCCAGCACCAACAAATTACACAGCAAGACCCTGTGATCATGAATTCACTTTGTACCAGAAATATAGCGAGGGACTCTCAAACCATTGCCGGTGCACAGCGACAGTGCGGATGGTCTTGGTGCCAGGTCCTTTCCAAACCACTCCTCCAGCGCAGCATAAAGCTCTCCTTAGAGCTACCGCCAAAGAACTGAAGTGCAGTGAATGCGCGATGCGGCGTGTGCACTCAACACGAAGTAAGAAGGATCAGTGCCATTACTCATGCCTGTTCGCCAGAGATTACTCTCGGGAAACAGAACACTTGCCTTTTCCCTTAACAGGCAGTTTCCTATTAAGTGAACTACAATGAATCTTAACTCGCCTCCTTGGATTTCAGGGCATTTATTAACTCCTTGTCTCTTATGCAAACATCTGTGTTGTTAGGCAGCCACTAAAATAAATCCTTCCCCGTTTTCAATTTATTTCCCTTTCTTTCCTCCTATGTAAACCTAAAAAACATATGGTAACTTAATTTACAAGGTGTCTCAAAGTGCAAAATGTGTTACATACAGTTTTGTATGGTCTGGTTTATACACAATATTTTATACAATATGACTGGAGACTTCTGCTCATAAATTATACCACATAGAGCACTATTTTTGAAGTGTTGGTTACTCTAAGCAACCCAATATCTTCTTACACAAGGTTAAACAGTTGAACTTTACAAGCTAGGTTCAGACCAAAATAATGTTAATTTTACACTCATCACATATATACATCGTATTTAAAATGTTCTTTCAGTGTTTAGGCCTAGACAGGGAAATTTCACAAACCAAGAATCACCATATAGTTTGGTGTGTGGTTTGAGCATGAACACTGTATGTAATACTTTAAAATAACAGTCTGTGGGAAAATTCATTTTATTTCTCTCGGCAAAATCTGCTCATCTTGAAGCTCTTTTGGAAGCGTTCTTGTTCGCTGTAGAACTACATTAAGCTCTTCAATTACTTTTGACGGTAGTTTATTATCAGAGTCCAAAGTTGCTTTACTGCTTCTGTCCTCCGTCTTCCTCAAGGTCTTCAAGCCTTTAGAGAACTTCGCTTGCCCAGGAGGCGCCTCAGCCTCCGTGTCCTCCAGGCAGTTGAAACTCCGATGTTTCCTGGCTCGGTTTTGAAGTCGATCTTCCTTGCGCTCCAGGCAGTGGGCCACCAGGGAGGCTCTCGCCTTTAACGTAGGGTCCAGAGGCTCTTTATCAAGCTGTGCACTGAGCCTCAGCCTTTCAAGTTCAGCTCTGGCACTCTAAAAATAAACACGCAAAGTCTCATGGAAAAGTATGATTTGGCACACATTTGAACAATACATTTTGGATAAAAGCAGATGCTTCCTTGTGTAAGAGTTTATTTCTATGATTTGAGCTCTCTCACTTTCCTCTGACGCAAGTGACATGTGTCATGCAAGAATTTCTATGATGATCTCACAACTACCATGCCAGGCACGTTCTTCAAATTGACTTTCATTTCAGATTTGCCCCTCGCAACTCATTTCTGCGTAAGGGTATTAGCTGCAGTGAAGTTGACAGATTTAAAAATCTGCCAAAAACCTGGACAATTCTTCACAAATGTGTCCATTGATAGGATTTTTCCCCCTTAGGGATACATTATGTTAGTGACATGTTAATTCATTTTTCCATTTTAAATAAGTTCAGAAGAAATTATTCTCTAAATATAGCTTTGAATAATTTCATGAATCAAATATAATTTTACATCAATGTTATTTATACTTACTTTTAGTTCAGTGATAAAGAAAACTTCAATGTTTTGCTAACATTTGGGCATTGTAAAGTTTCTTTGCCAAATTTGTGAAATTTATAACATTTATTAAATTTATAAAAGCAAAACCAAACAAAATCGCAAATCTACATGTTTATTTTTACCTACCCATAAACTTCCATTCATTACTATTGCATTACTATTCCACTTATTACTATAGGATTATTTTAAGAGCCTTTAATAATTAGTTCATATCTCATCAGTCTTCTGAACTTAATGTTAAGGAAAAAGTATCTGTGAAATATTGGAGTTAGGTAACAGCCTATTGTATAGCTAACCAGCCAATTGTAGATTCCAATTCTATACTTGATATTTTTTAAATTATTTTATCTTAATAATTTTTCTTCTGGTTTGCTCCAAAATTATTCATTAGTCGATGAGGGGAGAACGCAGGGTCACTGCAGGGCATATTCACAACCTTTGAGAGCTTGATCTATTCAAACTGTGTCCCATGATCTGGGTTCCTTGGAAATGCTATTCAAAGAATTAAAAAATTCTAGAGTAACTAAAGACCCTACATTTCTACAGAAAATTTATTACTAGGAAAATCTGTATGTGTAAAAATGGCAGTAGCAACAAGATCATGATTTCTTTGAGCCCAATTCTTCCCCTTTATTATATCAACACAGAGGCCCATGTAGGGACAGCAATGGGAATAAGTCATTTTCCCACATTTCAGTTTTTAGAGAAGACCATTACAGTAAGATATATATTCAAGAAAAAAACACATGAGAAAACATATAAAAAACTCTGATGATTGATTAAAATGGCCTTTGTCTTTCATAAGTCATTTCTGTTTGGAGAGCAAGAAATTCCAAGAGTGTAACTCCAAACCGAGGCTCCAGGAAGGGGTAGGAGCACTGCAGTACTCTCTTCTTCCACTGAGCGTCCTAATGAAGGTACTGAACCATGCATGATGCTCAAGGTGTCTACTGACTTTTTGAGAGTGACAAAGCCTATGGCATTCCCTGAAGAGACTGAGCATCACAGCAAGATTGATGCGGCTCCTGTTCTCCCTGCCCTTCAAGGTGAAAGTAAGAAGATTCTGCAGCCTTTGCGAAAGACGCCAAATCTTCTTTACTGACTGTCAGCGGCCATCCCCCAGATCCTTAAATTAATTGAAACAGCCCATCATTTACCAAACCACTAGAATTTGATTGTGCTACTAGCAAATCTAGTTGTCATGGCTCCCGACAAATTGTGCCCCAAGCTCACTCCAAGGACATGGGCTTGTAAGTGAACTTGTAACACTAATAAGAGCCTGAGATATTACCACCGGAATTTCTGGTCGCATATTCAAAACTGCTTGGTTATTTTAGATATAAGAAAATAAGTAGCATTGTATATATTGAATCGGGTGGCCCATGGCATTATTAAAATAAAATGGAACATTACAGTTTAAAAAAAACAACAAAAAACCCTCAACATTTCAAAACGTTGCATGGAATTATTTCGAATAGTCATGATATGTGTGATTATCACTGTGTCTCGGAGACTGAGACAGGGCTTTTGAAGCCAAGGAAGTCAAGAATATACTGAATCACATCAATTCACAGGAAAACAAATGCTATCATTTAATACCATGTCTGCAGTTACCCAACAAATACATTCCTAACCTACCTCAATATTTCTCCGCGCTAGGGTTGCATTTCCCTCGTGCTGGATGGGAATTAAAGGCAAACCTCCGATTTTGGGATTTTTGGTTATAGAGCGTTTCCGTTCCTTTCCAGCTGGTGGACATATGTCATTTTCATGCTGTGGAGAAACAAGCTTTATGCTGTTGGTGGGTGATTTTATTATGCAGCACACTGTGTTATATGGTCACTAGGCATCTTTCTCAAACACCCACATCATATGATCTACTTTATGTGAGCATGCCATCAATTATTACGATGTTGACTCCATGGCAGCATCGCTCCAGGATGTGAAACAGCTAAGTGAACCGAGGCTTTAGGTCTCAGTTCAATTTCCAAGTTTCAAATACATGCCTTCTATACCACATATCAAACCAAAAGGGGCAAAATATTTGAAAAAACTGGCAAGTCTCATGGGGTGGGGGGCGGCAGGGGGAAATAAACAAACATACTTGTCTACATTTTTAGACCCCTGTAATCAAAACAAAAACATATTTATTTTCTAGTACAAAAGTAATTTGACTTATACATCAAAAATCAACCTGCGGCATCGATGTGAGAAAAAAATAGCTTATTTTGTAACTTCTAAATATGTTTCGTTTCACCTGTTGAAATCTAAGGAGATGCTACCTTATACACAAATACTCCTACTGAGAACCATTGTACAACCGAGAGTGTGACATATTTGTTCTCAACATATCATCTACATATCCTGTGGCTGGAGAAATGTTAATCTTGCAATGGGGTAAATAGTCACAGGTAAATTTATAAACGTTAATGACAAATGCTTGAGATAGGCATATAAACGAAAAAAAGCCTTTAAGTATTTGTTTAAAGGGTGGATTAACTTTTCAGAAGCTGGCAAAAACAAATTGATTTTCACAGTAAGCTATGATAGAAATACAAACTACAACCTAGAAAGCTTGACATTTATAGATGTCCTGAAGCAATGGAAACCATTTGCTGAACCACGCATCTAAATGCCTACTCTGTTTTTTCATCACCTCTTCTTACCGTGTATTAATAGATTCCTGATCTTTTCCTGTCAGAATGATCATTTAATGCGGTGTATTGCAGCAAAGAGCTAAATTCATCAACTATTTTCTGTGTACTCAATCCATAATAATAGCTCATTAATATTGAGAGACATATTGCCAGGACTTGTACTTAGCAGTTTACATGCATCAGGGTAATTCAACAAGTATTGCTGTAAAGGTGGCAGTGCTGTGGGTTATGTTTGAAAGCACCATCCACTCTGGGAGAAAGATGAGGCTTCCATTCTTGTAAATATTTACAGTCTTGGACATCCACAAGGGCAATTATACAGTCTGTATGGTCACTGCTGTGAGTCCGAATGACCCTATGGTTGTAAGTAAACACACATTTTACAATACAAGGCTATTGTTTAGTGACACGCTCTCCCAATTAGGACTAGATAGGATGTGCTACCATCTCTCTTCTAACTCATCCCCAAAGAATTGTGTGCTTTGTAATTTACACCACATCCATCAAAGTGGCAGTTTTGGAGTCTTCCAGGGATTCAAATTGTGTCCCAGTTAAATGTTTCTTGAGTTTGGGGAACAAAAAGTAGCCTGACTAGGTCAGACCGAGGCTGTGGAATAGATGGAATACGATATCCCAAGAAAATTCTCACACGATAGCTCTTCCATCGGCAGAATGAAACCAACAGTCTCAGCACAGCTCTCCCGACCCCTTTCTCATCAGTGCTATCTGTCTGTTTTCAGTGATCTCAAATCTCAACCTAAAAAGTCCCATGATTATCTCATGTCCGTCAAGAAAATCCCTCAAAATCACGGCTCTGGAGTCCCAATGAACCGTCACCAGAACCTTCTACGCAGACCGTTCTGCCTGTAACAACTTTCAACTCTAACGCTCACTAGCATGTGTCTCCTCTGATTTTTATAGTAGAACTCGAACATCTGAATTCCTGAAAGTCATGGAAAGAAAAAGAGCCTTAGGAAAGTTATCAGCAATCGATTTTCTGCAGTTATTTCCACCAAATATTTTTAGAGTTGGGCCGAGTGGAACAGTATTTCTCAACCACTCAGAAGGTTAATCAATCAAATGACCAGAGGTAAAGGTTTTCATCAAAACAATTTGGAGTGAGATGTTGGGGTGAGTTAATAATTTTAAGAAACACTGGAAAGCAATCAAGAAAAAACACCTTCGGCAATAAAGAGTGGCAACTTGATTGTTAGCAGTGAATGTCAGTCGTGTTGTGGGTAGCATCTCTTGGAATTCAGCCAGCTCAAGGTTGGGTGGAAAACCAGTCCTAGTAATGGAACTATGTAACCCTCCCCCTGAAGAGTGAGCCCTCCACTAAGGCGGAGACAAATGGAGGACTGCCTATAAAGGTTGACACCAGGCACGCCTGGATTTGAAACACTAAATAATTGTAGGTGCCTGAGCAAATAACGAAATATTGTCAACCTTTGCTTCTTCATCTATAAAGTGCAACCGCTTTGGCTTCATGTGTAATTGTAACAAGGAGTACTCCAGTTGATGCTTCTTAAATACGTAGAGCACAATAGCTTCTTGTTTCCAAAAAGGCAATTAGGAAGCATGAGAGGCCATTGGGGGAATAAGGGACATAGGAAGATTTATTTAAAATAAGTTCTGCTGGGGGTTCTGGGAGGACGGAAGCTTTCTGACCCTACATCACAAACCACTCTTCCTCTCCTAATCCCAGAAATGGCTGGGTCCAGCAGAAGAGAAGCTGCTGCAGAAGCGTTTACCTTTTTCTTCCTATGTTAATGGGTATACTTGAATTTTTTTTTAAATATCAGTCGTCTAAAAATATGAATAAGAGAATAAAAGTTTATGCTAAGTATAAAAATGGAAAGTTATACTAAAAAATATTTGAAAATCACATTCAGACCAACACTTCCTAGAGTGGAAACATATATATCATACCTGGGCAATAAAGACACTTGCCATCCATTCCATCTGAGTTTGTAAGCTATCACAACACAGATACCTGCAAAGCAAGGTTGGCAAAATACATAATTCAAAAATGACAATGGATTAGACTCAGGTACATTTGTTTGGTGAGACATGATCAGAAATACCTTTGCATTTCTCCTGATTAGAGTCTTTATGTGATTAAGTTGCATGAGACTTTTGTTAAGGTATATAATATTAAAATGATGATATGATGTTTTTTTTTAATGCAGCTGTAGGCTTTGGTAACCGCTGACAAACTGATGGGAAATACATTTGGAAAGGCAGCAAAGTCAACGTTATGTTGATTTTAAGGTACAAGATGGGAAAACACGATTTTTGCTCCCTAGAAACTCTGAGCCTAAGAAGAAAAATGTGTCTACTCCCTAACAGGCTCAGACATAGTCTCCATCATTGTGATCATAAACATGAATCCCACAAGATCCACAGAAAAGGCACCAAATGAAAAATGACTGTGTTTCCGGCAACACTGTTTCAGTAAGCTTTTATTAGAAACCTAAATAAAACCGAGATCAAGCCCTCAAGGAGCTGGTTGCTTGTCAGGGGAGTCAGGCATATAAACAAATACATTGTAAAATATTGAGAAAAATCTAAAGTAAACCAGCACAGACACAGAATTCAGAGACTGAGGTGTGAAGTGGGCGTTGTTTCCAAGGAAGAAAATTCTGTACTTGATGTTAGAATGACATACTGGGCATTTTTCTGTAATTATAGCTGTTGTATTGCTATGACACTAAACATAATCCAATTCTGAAACAGTGAAATTATAAAAAGAGTTTGCTTCTTTTATTAGTGCCTCATGGAGACATTCCCATTGCTAGGTGCAAAAAACCTTAACTTCTCTCCCTACAAATATTTTAGTGAGGCAAAAGCAGCAGCAAACGATGATTACAGGTGGACGCTATTTGGAGGTAAGCTTCAAAGGAAGAACAACAGCGGTGTCTACTCCGCAGGAGAAGATGAGAGTAGTAAGGAAAGATAGGGAACGGGGTTCAGGAAAGGGATAACAGGCATAAAATACATAAATAGGAAGCAGTAAGAAATTCCTGGTGACTTAAAGGCAGTTTCTTCTTTGATCACTAAATGAAAAGGAAAAGTAATAGAAGACGAAGCTGAGGAAGACACATCCTATAGGGCCTTCCATTTCATGTCAAGGATCCCTGGTTTTATTCTGTAGGTGATGAGGATTTACAAATGTTGTAAAGCAGCAGAGAAACCTGGTATGACTTAGAAATGCCCTTTCCGTGACTAGATGGGGAAAACAAGGTGAAGATGAAGATGACAACGAGTGAATGGAGGCATGGTCTTGGGGATCAAATGGGCAGAACTGACTGGTTTAGTGATTAATTAGACAGAGGCAGGGCAGGGACCAAGGACAATTATGCACAATCCCACAGAAACTGATGGAGAAGTGGTAATACTAATGGGGAAAGTACATGGATAGAAAGAGTAAGTTTGAAAGTAGGGTATGTAATTTTATTTTAAAACTTCAACATGGCTACCTCTTACCTTTTTTTCTTAAAATAAATTTTGGCTACTTTTTATCCCATTAAATCTAGGCTTCTACACTTATATAAGAATGAAATAAATTAGATATATTTCTTTAAAGAAGCATTGGCAAACAACACAGTACATGGGATTGGAAGAGACCTAAACTTGGACACAAATCTATTTTCTTGTTCTTAGACTCAAGGTATTTGAAAAATAGTCTTGTGTGTAGAACTGTTTATAGGGGTTGTCAACAACATAGCAAATCCAAAAGTTTCCAGCTTTTAACTTACCAGTGATGCTTATCAGAATATGCGGTCAAGCCCCAACTATATCACATGGGAAAACAAACAAAACAAAGCACATGCATTAACATAATAAATCTCACAGGACCAAATAAAATGTATTTGTTAAACAGTCAATACCTACTTGTAGGAAAGCATAGTAAAAATTTCTACACAGTGCTTATAACTTTTCTATAAGTAATACTTCATGTTGAGGGATTTGGCCAAAAATTTAAAGTAGAGCAAAGGGAGTCGGAGGCAAGGAGCCCCACACAATACTATCAAGAAGAAAGAGAATTATTTCAGAAGTCTAGGAAAGTAGCCCAAATAAGATATATTAATATCTTATTTATATTAATAATATTAATATATATTAATGTATAATTAATATGCATTGTGACCTACTGGGATTAGAGGAAGTTAAAGAACAGGTATATGTACTTGGATTAGACATTAAGTGTGGAGGTAAAAATGAGAATGTCTTTAAAATAATAACTATATAAATGTATACAATTCATAAAAAGTTTCATATTAGTGAATATATTCTATTCACTAATAAACTATTCATCAAAGTAATCTTTAGTAAGAGGGCATAACATCTATCAAATTCTGAAGATGAGTTAAGTATAAGCCACACTAAGAAGAAGATGGGTACACCCATTCTATCTACCACCCATATACTCTGTATTCAGTACACAATGTGGCTGCTTGACCGGGACCCCAGTGTCGTAGAAGTCAAGCTGTAGTTGACTGAAATATGCTGTCTGCCACCGTCCATCCCCCAGGATACAACTGATCAAGGAAAGGGATATTGAGGGGTCCAGGTGCTCCCTAGCAGATGGGTCTCCTGGACATTTCTTGGAATTCAACGGAGGAGGCAGAAATCACCTAAAGCCTTGACCTGGGCCTCTAGGAAAATACCACCTCATCTTATTTCTTCATATTAAGTTCCCTTGCTCTGGAATTAATGAGGCCTCTTTCTTAGAAAATGCAATACACTAAAACAGGGGTCCTCAAACTTTTTAAACAGGGGCCAATTCACTGTCAGACCTGTTGGAGGGCTGGACTATAGTTTAAAAAAAAAACTATGAACAAATTCCTATGCACACTGTACATATCTTATTTTGAAGTAAAATAACAAATGGGGCAAAAACACCCAAAAGGCTGGATAAATGTCCTCAGCGGGCTGCATGTGGCCCGTGGGCCATAGTTTGAGGACCCCTGTGACTAAAACTTTAGTTTGTACGAAAGTTAAACCAATTCGCATGATCCCTAAATCCTGAGACATATTTCCCCATACATTTTCCCTTTCAATAATCTTCTTTCGAAACTTACCTGGTTGGGGGCTTCACTTTCTTTCTCACACCAAGATAAAACTTCACTGAACTGAGAGAAAACATCTTCTCATGTTTACTACTCTGGAAGTAAAAGAATGTATAATTAATTTCCTAAGCTTTCTTAAATTTCCCTGAGTCTGATTTTTTCAAAGTTATTTTACCCAAAGTTTCAAACATTTGTCAAGTTTTTAGTTAATAAAACTTGTATTAAAGTTCACATTTAATTTGCATTTAAGTTTTAAATTATATTTAAAGTTACAGTCATAAACTTAAATGTATAATTTTGGGTATAAACAAGGAAGTTTCCAAAAGTTTTCAGAAAAACAAAAGGAAAGTAAAAATTTCCAACCAAAAACTATTTTTTTGGTGTCTGTGTACATACATACACATATATGTTTTGAGAGGTTTTGTGTCCCCTTTGGTGGGCCAGGATTCCCAGCGGTTTAGCAGTTATAATGCAGTTTTTCCACGATGTGCCCTAACATAATGTGATCAACTCCTTCAAAGGATCTGTTGTGAGCAGCCAATCAACTGCCAGATTAGGATGACCTTCCTCAGGTCAGAGCTCTGATGCATTTAAAAAGAACTTTCCTTGAGAGTATAGCGACTTTTCATATAAGTGGAAGATGTGGACAATCTTGCTTCTTTTTGCACTATCTGGATCTTACCTCTGGTTCATGGGCCTCTGGTTCTTTGGACTAACGTCAAGGTTTGCTATATTGCCTGCCAATCTCGGAGCCATCTGACCTGCCAATCTGCCTGCCATCTGACCTGCCAGTCTTGGATTAATTTGCCTCATCGGCCATAAACCAAACCTGTTGAGTTTGGATTCTTTATCTGCCTCTGCAGTCATTAGAGTTTGGTTTTCCGTGGGTCCGTCAGCAGCCAAAACTACTAGAGTCAGGAGAAGCCTACAGCTTAACATCTGGCTCAAAGACAGGGAACCTGTTTGGATTCAGATGGGTCCACTTCTATAGCAGTGAGTCATTTTTTTATATAAGGTTTTTTCTTTTCATACATTTATAAGCATCACTGGTTTTGCTTCTCTAGAGAACGCAGGCTAACTAAACTTGTGTACAAAAATACACACACACACATACAGATCCTTAATTCTTTATTCAAAAATCCCTAGGGG